TGAGATGATTCCAGCTTTATGACATGGCGCATTATCCTGCTGAAAGTAGCCATTAGAAGTTGCGTACATTGTGGTCATAAAGGGATGGACATGGTCAGCAACAATACTCAGGTAGGCTGTGGCGTTGCAACGATGCTCAATTGGTACCAAGGGGCCCAAAGAGTGCCAAGAAAATATTCCCCACACCATGACACCACCACCACCAGCCTGAACCGTTGATACAAGGCAGAATGGATCCATGCTTTCATGTTGTAGACGCCAAATTCTGACCCTACCATCCGAATGTCGCAGCAGAAATCGAGACTCATCAGACCAGGCAACGTTTTTCCAATCTTCTATTGTCCAATTTCGATGAGCTTGTGCAAATTGTAGCCTCAGTTTCCTGTTCTTAGCTGAGAGGAGTGGCACCCGGTGTGGTCTTCTGCTGCTGTAGCCCATCTGCCTCAAAGTTCAACGTACTGTGCGTTCAGAGATGCTCTTCTGCCCACCTTGGTTGTAACGGCTGGTTATTTGAGTCACTGTTGCCCTTCTATCAGCTCGAACCAGTCTGGCCATTCTCCTCTGACCTCTGTCATCAACAAGGCATTTTGGCATTTCAATACATTTATACATGTAGTTTGAAGGCTTAACAGGCTTTGGTTTGTTTTGTGTGTTATGTTTGAAGATAAGATAACATATAAGGAGTTTTCACCTCTGGTTTTATGTTTGAACATTTTTAGTCGACACTAGACTGGTTTTGTGCAAAGCATTAAAAGGTCTGATTCAAAATCTCTGAGAAAGATATTTGTAGGTCATTTCAGGAAGTTTCTTTCATTTTTTAAAAATGAGTTTATTTTTAAGTCACTGCAACACATTTGCTGCACAAAGACCATTCTGATACAGTAATGAGAAAAAGTTATCAAGATTACCAACAGCTCTTGACTTTAAACAACCTCACTCAGATGTTTTCTGACATCCTGTTTAGTGCAGTCGTCATATGAACTTGTGTATTAATGTTGTTAACGATGGTATTGCTACATAATAGATAAAATAATAAGTAATGATATTTATTAGTGGTATTTTAACAAAGGCTGACAAAAAAAGACTGAAAAAAGCACATAATAAAGTAAAATTACTAAATGTGATTGATTGCGCAATTTACAGATAAGGCACGAAGCCGTGTCAATTAAGCAAAAAAAAAAAAAACTCAACTTATTTTGTTATTGCTTTTGTGAAACTAAATCGAGGCATAATTAGGCCAGGGTGGCAATTCAAGCCCCAAGCACAGTAAATTGTAGAAATAAGAAAAATCTGGATGCACTGTGAGTAAAAAGGTAAACGTACAGTAGTTCTCAAAACACCATCATTTCATGATTTGTACGTATTCACAGCAGGCCAGATCTTTACTGGTTAACCAGACTGACCGTAAGTCAATCTGGTTGGCCAGGACTAATGCATCATGTCGCAAAAATCAGAAAACTCACATTCACATAGAGGTTAGTAACATACAATAAAAGTAAAATTACTTTATCAAACATAAAATAAAAAAAGAAAGATGTTTATCATGAAAAAAATAGTATGTGCATAGCATTTTGTCCTCTAGCACGGCCGTAGAACCTCATCAACTTCACAGGCCACATTCTCCCAGGCCAAATAGAGAAGGAAAAAGCCCCAATGGTTGCTTTACAAAACACAACTTTTGTTTAACTGTACACAACAAAATCTCTTGTAATTAAACCGTTCTGACGAGGCTGATTCGTCAGCCTCCCTCTAGGGCCTTTTGTAAGGTACTGTAATATACATCAGCTTTACAGTATGTAATAAATGGCTTTTTGGGAACATAATTGATAGAAAAATTTTTGTTTTTTTTCCTTGCACTGAAGAACTTCAGCAAATTACAGCATGCAATATATCCTTGACTATGAAATGTATGAAGATATTTTATTTAACTTTTCTGATATAGTCATTTCAAGTCCACATTAGGGTAGATTATTATATTCACCTTAGTATTTGGAGGGGGAAAATCCTGTTATGGAGAGGAACTTGAGCTGATGACTGTGTATATTTTAAAAGCACACAGTACAGGCACATTTCCAGTAGGTGGCAGTAAAGACATCATAAGCAAAATACAGCCATCCCCTTTTCAGTAAATTGTTTACTCCTTTTAGCTATTAAATGTAACAGAGGAAATCTTTGACTTAACTCCTATACATAAATTATGGTTTTAGATTGTTTTTTCTCTATTTAATGATAAAAATATGAGTTTGTAAGCTGTTTGTCAGTCCTTCACTTCTACCATGTGACACATCTAAAGTAATACCCCCTTTCCTACTGGCTTTAAAAATGACCAGACATTTCAGAAGCCCTGGAGTTTTGTAAGCTAGAAATAAATTAGAAATAAAATTTCAATTCAACTGTCCTGAAGCCCTGCTTTTTCAAATACACTATATTGCCAAAAGTATTTGCTCACCTGCCTTGACTCACATATGAGCTTAAGTGACATCCCGTTCCTAATCCATAGGGTTCAATATGACGTCGGTCCACCCTTTGCAGCTAGAACAGCTTCAACTCTTCTGGGAAGGCTGTCCACAAGGTTTAGGAGTGTGTTTATGGGAATTTTTGACCATTCTTCCAGAAGCGCATTTGTGAGGTCGCACACTGATGTTGGACGAGAAGGCCTGGCTCTCAGTCTCCGCTCTAATTCATCCCAAAGGTGTTCTATCGGGTTGAGGTCAGGACTCTGTGCAGGCCAGTCAAGTTCATCCACACCAGACTCTGTCATCCATGTCTTTATGGACCTTGCTTTGTGCACTGGTGCACAGTCATGTTGGAAGAGGAAGGGGCCAGCTCCAAACTGTTCCCACAAAGTTGGGAGCATGGAATTGTCCAAAATGTCTTGGTATGCTGAAGCATTCAGAGTTCCTTTCACTGGAACTAAGGGGCCAAGCCCAGCTCCTGAAAAACAACCTCACACCATAATCCCCCCTCCACCAAACTTTACACTTGGCACAATGCAGTCAGACAAGTACCGTTCTCCTGGCAACCGCCAAACCCAGACCCGTCCATCAGATTGCCAGATGGAGAAGCGCGATTCGTCACTCCAGAGAACGCGTCTCCACTGCTCTAGAGTCCGGTGGCGGCGTGCTTTACACCACCGCATCCGACGCTTTGCATTGCACTTGGTGATGTATGGCTTGGATGCAGCTGCTCGACCATGGAAACCCATTCCATGAAGCTCTCTGCGCACTGTTCTTGAGCTAATCTGAAGGCCACATGAAGTTTGGAGGTCTGTAGTGATTGACTCTGCAGAAAGTTGGCGACCTCTTCGCACTATGCGCGTCAGCATCCGCTGACCCCGCTCCGTCAGTTTACGTGGCCTACCACTTCGTGGCTGAGTTGCTGTCGTTCCCAAACACTTCCATTTTCTTATAATACAGCTGACAGTTGACTGTGGAATATTTAGGAGCGAGGAAATTTCACGACTGGATTTGTTGCACAGGTGGCATCCTATCACAGTTCCACGCTGGAATTCACTGAGCTCCTGAGAGCGACCCATTCTTTCACAAATGTTTGTAAAAACAGTCTGCATGCCTAGGTGCTTGAATTTATACACCTGTGGCCATGGAAGTGATTGGAACACCTGATTCCAATAATTTGGATGGGTGAGCAAATACTTTTGGCAATATAGTGTACTTGGTGTTGGTATTGGGATGTTTTTTTGTTGTTGTTTTTTTTTAAGGTTAATCCTGCGATTGTTGAAGGGGAGTTGAGTGCAGCAAGATATATCCTGAAATGCATTGTGCTCCCAGCAGCAGTAAAGTGGATGTACAAATATAAGCTTTTTATCCCCTCCAATGAGTAATGTTCAATTCAATTCAGTTTATTTATATAGTGCCAATTTAAAACACATGTCATCTCAAGGCACTTTACAGTTCAACCAGATAATACAGTCAAATTGATTCAACGTTTTCTATCCAAGGAAAACCAGTTGATTGCATCGACTCCTTGACTTGAGGGCAATCCTTCACACTAAGTCAAACCTCAAGCAGAACCAGACTCAGTGTGAGCAGCCATCTGCTGAGGTGGACTTGGGTTCAAGGAGACAGAAGCAGACATACAGAAAGAAGCAGAGATACAAAAGGCAATTGTAAACCAGCTTCACAGGTGTCCGCATCTAGGAAACACACAGCCAGGGAGACCAGCTCTGAGCCAGCTCCCATGTCAGAGGATAAAGAGAGCAAATCCAGCCATTCACAGTCAGAGAAACAGGACCACACTGAAAAACAGGCCTGAGCCACTCTAATAATAAGCTTTATTGAAAATGAAAGTTTTAAACCTACCCTTAAAAGTAGACAGGGTGTCTGCCTCACGGACTGAAACTGGTAGTTGGTTGGAGCGAAGAGAAGCCTGATAACTATCCATCCATCCATTTTCCATCACACTTATCCCAAGCGGGATCGCGAGGGGTGCTGGTGCTTATCTCCAGCTGCCTGATAACTAAAATATCTTACATTAATTCTTATATTAATTGATTCAAATTTTTTATTGGACTTCAATGATGTGGAGAGCCTCATTCATAGCTTTAACAGCCACTGTGAGCTCATTTTGGAACAGGTTGCACTATTAGATCAGATTAGATTAGATTCAACTTTATTGTCATTACACAGGTACAGGTACAAGGCAATGAAATGCAGTTTAGGTCTAACCAGAAGTGCAATTGCAGCAAGTGCAGGATAATATTGGTTCCATAAATACAGGACATGGGTTTCTACTGAATGAGTATAGAGATGAATACTATTATAATTAATGAATATAATATATAGATAACTAGTGTTATGAACTAAATTTATAGCTGGATATGTACCGAATATAATATACAGGTGGATATTACTATAAAAAAAAGGTTTTTACAGTTATGTACAATAGCATATATACAGATGGATTTTACTATAAAATGAATAAATAAAGTTTGGACAGAAGCTATCTGAATTAAAGTGCAGTGGAAGGTAATTGCATATTACAGTTAAAGTACGTTATTGCAAATGTATATGTAAACAATTGGTACTGTGAATAAGCAGTCGGCAGTGCAAATCAATAATCAGTCAAGGTGAGTAGTGCAAGATGCATGTAAACAGTTGTTACAATAGTAACAGTCAGGAGCGAAGGTGAACATTACAGTCTTGTAATAAACAGAATAGCAAAATGGTGGTAGGTGTGAGGAAGGAGAGTAGAGTCTATCAGTGAGGGTCAGAGTTCAGTAAAGAGACAGCTCTGGGGAAAAAGCTGTTCTTTTATCTGCTGGTTCTGGTCCGGAGGCACCTGAAACGCCTGCCGGAGGGCAGGAGAGAAACAGTCTGTGGTCTGGGTGGGATGAGTCCTTAAGAATGCTGCAGGCTCGATGTAGGCAGCGTCTCTCTTGGATGTGCTTCTGTTTCTCACCAGATTAGACTCACCATTTACAACTGATCTGGTGAGTTGTAAAACAATGTGTCATTGATTTAATGATGGTGTTCGTGGTATGAAGAGACTTTGTCGAAGAACCGAGCGTCTGTGGAAATTGACCAAACTTGAGGTCTTTAGGTTGCACCTAAGGGAACTTACAGTATGTCTTCTCTAAATGAAATTATAAAAAACAAAAGCTAGATCTGACTACTTCTGCAAGCTGATAACCACGAATAGGAAAAAAACCTCAAGTATTATTTGATACCATCAACCCTCTTGTATGTCCTGCGGCTCCCCTTAAAGCTGTTTTTTGTAAAGGTGACAGCAATGATTTTCTAAAGTTTTTTATTGATAAAATCCAGGAAATTAAAGATCAACTTCCAATTTTCTCGTTGTGCGCTCCTGGTGCTGTTGAGAATGTACCCCACGAATGGTCCTCTTTTAATCCTGTAACACAGGCCGATGTCTTAGCTCTGTTAACCAGGATGAAGGCTCCTTTCTGCGCATCTGATGTTCTGCCCTGTAAGCTTTTTATAAAAAATATTTGATGTCAGTGGTCCCTCGGTTATCAATCTGATCAACCTTTCACTTTCCACTGGTGTTTTTCCCAGTTCTCTTAAACACGCCATTGTGGAACGAAGTCTAAAAAAAAAAACTAATCTGGACCCTACTGATTTAAAAAAATTCAGCCCTGATTGAAAACTTCCATTTTTATCTAAACATGTGGAGAAGGTGGTATCTGATCAGTTAGTACCCTTCCTGGAAAAATACAACATTTTTGACAGTTATCAGTTTGGCTTCTTCAAGCATCACTCCACAGAAACGCCCTGCTTAAAGTGTCCAGTGATAATATGATGTCTGCAGACTCTGGAAAAGGCACTGTTCTTGTGTTATTAGATCTCTCATCAGCATTTGACAAGGTCAACCATTACATTTTGTTGACAAGATTATGCAACTTGGTCGTAATGTCGGGACTGATCTTAGTGTGTCTGCAAACCAGATCCTGTCTGACTCTTCCAAATTCTTGTGTGGGCTTCCTCAGGTCTCCGTTTTGGGCCCAATTTGGTTTTTACTGTATGTCCTTCCATTAGGAAAAATCATTCAGAGATTTGATGATGTTTCCTGTCATCTGTTTGCTGATGATATCCAGCTTTACTGCTCTTTTAAGTCCCCTTTAAACTCTCTGATGAATTGTCTTGCGTACGTTAAACAATGGGTCGGTGCAAATTCCCCGCAACTAAACTCAGATAAAACAGAGGTGCTGGTGATTGCCTCTGATGACGCTATTCCAGGTATCCACCAGAATCTGGGCGATTTGAGTAAACCAAGCCTTAGAAACCTAGGTGTTATTTTTGACAAAGCATTGTCCTTAGAGCAGCACTCAAAACTGCTGACAAGGAACTGTTTTTACTAACTGATCTCTCTTAAACTGTACATAAAAAACAAAAACTGATTATTTTATTATATTTTGTAATATTTTAACCACCGTTGGTATTTCATATTATGCTATAAGGCAGACCAAAATCTAAATTTGTGTGCAAATTTGGGCAAGTTAAACACTATAATAAAATAATTTAAACAAATAATTAGTAACTGATAATAATTCATAGCAAAGCCAGGCAAACAAACTCTTTTTCAAATCAAATTTTTTTTTCCACATAAAACTTATTAAACTAGTCCCTGTAGTAGGTGATGTATACATCTTAGAATAGCATAAAAATAGCCCCAGTGACAGTATCTATTCCATATTGTATATCAACCTGACTTCCAGGTATTAAGTAAGCTTGGATTAAAAAGTGCACTCATTAAAACAACAACAACAACAACAACATTGTATGTGTCTTTGTCTGAAACCCTTTCGTTTAACAAGCTAGTTCATTATTCAGTGAAGTTACCCACAGTGGGTAGTCAAACATTTTATCCAAGTAAGATTGGTAATAACATTTGAGATATTTTATCAAGATATAACGCCAATTGATTCAAATTCTGGGCAAAAGCTACAATGTATTAGATCAATGCTGTCTAAGGCCAATTTTACACCTGGAATAAATGAATGTATCATTAACAGGCTTGTACAGAACAACTAACTAAGAGTTGACTTGAGTTCACACTACCTTTATTATATAAGAAAAGTGGAAAGTTTTCATCGGAATTCAAAGTTTGGGGCCTTTACTGAAAAAGGCAAGTACTCCACTGTAAGGGCAACCAGTTAGTCTAAAGATAAATTATTGCTTAGTTTGCTGTTGAGCTGACAAAGAAGATATTTTGTCACATTTGCAGCAACAATTACTTTAATAAGAATATATCAATTGTTTAAAAATGTGAAGTTTAAAAATCAAACACACTTACCTCCCTTGATGGGAGAATAATTCTGAGATTTCATTATAAGTAATCTTTGTGACCAATGACCCTGAGTATACCATGATAGGAGTGGAAGGTTTTTTATTCATTTTGATTTATACTCCAATTATGGAATAGAGAAACAAACAGACATTGCTTTATTAATACTTTTTTAAACAATAATAATAATATTCAGTTTATTTATGCTTTCAAACCTTTTTTAAAGTGACAGAATTTCTACCTGTCAGGTTTTACCTCTGTCACTCATGCAGGTAAGTTTAAGTATTAGTTGCTTTACTAACAGACAGCTAATTGGCTCTTAGGGCACAGTTCCTCTGCTCAGAAATCTTCCTGTTAACAGTGGAATGGAAAGTTTAGGAAACAAATATGAGCTATGGATAAGCGAAAGACCAGTAAAATTCTAGAAAAAAAAGTACTAGCATATGAAAATAGCAACGTTTTATGATCAACATAGAAGCCTGTTCAAAGTACAGTTTAGAAAAGTAAACGTTAAGGTCATCAGGAAAGAATATTTGCTCTGTTCAGTTTGTCCTGGCCAAGCAGACGAGTGTATGTGACCTCGTGGTATCCATCTAAACAAAAATTTTTTGGGAAGTATGAGGTTTGAGCCAAGAGATTACCACAAATCACAAGATGAGTGTGGAGTTGTATCGATACACACATAGCAAATCAATGATATGACTTTTTATGTATATGCGTCCTCTTTAGGATTTAAACTTTAGAAAATTTGGGATTTTTATGTTGCTTTAACTGTGCACAGGGTTGTATAAATAGTGTTTTGCAAGTTTACCAGAAGATTGTGAATATACAGGTGCTGGTCATAAAATTAGAATATCATGAAAAAGTAGATTGATTTCAGTAATTCCATTTAAAAAGTGAAACTTGTATATTATATTCATACATTACATACAAACTCATATATTTCAGATGTTTATTTGGTTTAATTTTGATGATTACAAATGACAACAAATGAAAATCTCAAATTCATCATATCAGAAAATTAGAATATTACTGAAGACCAATAAAAACAAAGGATTTATAGAAATGTTGGCCAACTGAAAAGTATGAACATGAAAAGTATGAGCATGTACAGCACTCAGTATTTAGTTGGGCCTCCTTTGGCCTGTATTACTGCAGCAATGCGGCGTGGCATGGAGTCGATCAGTCTGTGGCACTGCTCAGGTGTTATGATAGCCCAGGTTGCTCTAATAGTGGCTTTTAGCTCTTCTGAATTGTTGGGTCTGGTGTATTGCATCTTCTTCTTCACAATACCCCATAGATTTTCTATGGGGTTAAGGTCAGGAGAGTTTGCTGGCCAATTAAGAACAGGGATACCATGGTCCTTCAACCAGGTACTGGTAGCTTTGGCACTGTGTGCAGGTGCCAAGTCCTGTTGGAAAATGAAATCTGCATCTCCAAAAAGTTGGTCAGCTGCAGGAAGCATGAAGTGCTCTAAAACTTCCTGGTATGTGGCTGCGTTGACCCTTGACCTCAGAAAACACAATGGACCAACACCAGCAGATGACATGGCACCCCAAACCATCACTGACTGTGGAAACTTTACACTGGACTTCAAGCAACGTGGATGAAGTGCCTCTCTTCTTTTCCTCCAGACTCTGGGACCTTGATTTCCAAAGGAAATGCAAAATTTACTTTCATCAGAGAACATGACTTTGGACCACTCACCAGCAGTCCAGTCCTGTTTCTCTTTAGCCCAGGCAAGACGCTTCTGACGCTGTCTGTGGTTCAAGAGTGGCTTGACACAAGGAATGCGACAGCAGAAACCCATGTCTTTCATACGTCTGTGTGTGGTGGTTCTTGAAGCACTCACTCCAGCTGCAGTCCACTCTTTGTGAATCTCCCCCACATTTTTGAATGGGTTTTGTTTCACAATCCTCTCCAGGGTGCGGTTATCTCTCTTGCTTGTACACTTTTTTCGACCACATCTTTTCCTTCCCTTCGCCTCTCTATTAATGTGCTTGGACACTGAGCTCTGTGAACAGCCAGCCTCTTTAGCGATGACCTTTTGTGTCTTGCCCTCCTTGTGCAAGGTGTCGATGGTCGTCTTTTGGACAACTGTCAAGTCAGCAGTCTTCCCCATGATTGTGTAGCCTATAGAACTAGACTGAAAGACCATTTAAAGGCTTTTGCAGGTGGTTTGAGTTAATTAGCTGATTAGAGTGTGGCACCAGGGGCCATCAATTTTGAACCTTTTCACAATATTCTAATTTTCTGATATGATGAATTTGAGATTTTCATTTGTTGTCATTTGTAATCATCAAAATTAAACAAAATAAACATCTGAAATATATGAGTTTGTATGTAATGTATGAATATAATATACAAGTTTCACTTTTTAAATGGAATTACTGAAATCAATCTACTTTTTCATGATATTCTAATTTTATGACCAGCACCTGTATAAAATAACTAGAACGGCAAATTTTAGTTAATTAACATGTCATTCAAATCAAGGGTAAACCTAATTAATCATTATCAGTTGAATGATTATAACCGTCATTTGCTTACTGTTATAAGCAAATTCAGTTTAAATTCAGTTGTCTTTCACCAGTTTAGTAATTTAGACTATGGCTATCAGCAAAATTAAAAATCACCAACCAAATATATCTGACTCTGTTCATTCAAATTCTTCTGAAAGAAGAGTGAATCCAGCCTGAGCGATAAACTATTCATGGCGTAAAATAAACACAAGACCACGGGTTAAAATACAATGGTGCCTTTATTTACTAATAATCATAAACTATCATTATAGCTAATAACTACTCATGCAGTAAACACTACTGAAAAAAAGCACAAATAAATAAATGAAAGGGGAAGAGGGGTTTAAGAGTCTGTGCAAAAGTCCCTGAGGAATGTTTACATTGCAAGATTCCTTTAAAATAGCACCATATAAGTGTGAAGAAACTCTGAGGCAGAGATGTTAAAAGCAGTCAAAACAGTGCAGTTTCATTTGGTTTCATGGTGAAAAATTAATAATGACTCAGGAATGCATTAAACTGTGATGAGGCTGAAAGATAAATGGGTTAGCTTAGCTGGTTCCAACAATGGCATGATGAATAAATGTCCCCATGAATGGCTCCGAAGAGAAAACTGTGTCTGCTTTTGGCTTTATTTGAACCTATTTATATAGTTCACATCCTGTATAAAAAATATACCTCCTTCTCTCATGCTTTCATGCTATTTTTTTTTACCCTATTATCTGAAGAACACTACTGATAGGCAATTCTAAAAGCCTTGACACAGCAACAGTGTCAGGAATCCAGTTTGTGTGGTATGTTTTGTATCTGTCTCTCCCTCCACCACCAGGTGGGGCCCTGTCCTTGTTGGTCCTCCTTGCACACCTGCAGCTCTTTGGATCATTATCTGGAGGAGTACTTAAGCAGTGGACTGTCACTACCTCGACACCAGAGTGTTTGCCAGTTTTGGGTACTCTAGCCATGCATAGAATAGCAGAGTCTAACCTGAGTCTTTGTTTCACTGAGTCAAACTGGGTCTTTGTCTCTCTGAGTCTAACCTTGTTTTTTGTTTTGGCCTGTGGTAGGAAGTCCTCCTGCATACTGGATGTTTGGCCTTCTTCCCCTGGAAGGATTGTTTGCTGAGTTCACACTGAGCAGGGGAGAAATCTCCACATGTGCCGTTCAAGTCCCTAACGTAAATCCAAGTGACAGTCTGCTCCAGTGCTCCTCCGGGTCGAGAGAATGTCTACCTGTCCACTCTTCAACATGTTCCCTCCTCTCTGATCAACCCACACAGGCTGGATGCTTGTGAGAGAAGAACCCCCCTAATGTGAGTCCCTCACTAGCATTTTCCCTACTGCATTCAAGATTCCCACGGTTCCTGAACTAACCGTTGTGATATCCCCTCCAGACATCCAAGTTCCTGTTCACCAGCTACCTGAGTTCCAGATCACACTTCCCCTCTACCCTCATCCCAATAAACCTGTTAAACCTTTTTCCTGGTTCTCTGAGTGGTTCTCTGCATCTTTGGGTCAGACCTTTAAAACACATCATGACAAACAGATTACGTTTCAGTGTATTTTGAATCTACGAATACAATTTGGACACTAGTTAAACACCAATTGGTTTCAAAATATGGAAAGAAACCAGACATAAGCAAGACATTTTGATGAAAACTTGCAAATTTTATTAATTAGTGAAGTTCAAGTCTTAACTTTGACTGGTTTATTCTAAAAAGTGAATATGCTTGATCCAATCCAGGAGTGTAGAACTAAGGTCAGCTCTTTTGGAGGTGTTGGATGTTTTTTTTTTTTTTGCTTTACACAGATGCTTAAAAAGTTCAATTAACTTTTCAACATGTCATCAACCTTTGAACCACCCTGTGATTGATCCATTTGTTTAAGTCAGATATGTTCCAGCATATGAGATTTAGCTTCAAGCAACAACTTTATAGCAGCTCTATTGAATTAAGCTTATGTTGAAGATTGTTGACCAGAATTTTGATCAGCTTTCGTGTCCCTAGTCAAGTTAAGAACTACAACAGAATATCACTGCCTTCTCATGTGTATAACAATGAGGTAATAATATGAAAATATGTTGATAATACATGTAGTATTCTTGTAAATACAAATACATTTTAGTATTTGAGGTTCTCGCAGGATCTTCTTTTTATTTACAGTCACTTGCCTTCAGCTCAGGTCCTGCAGCAGTTGCAATGCAGAAAACAGCCATAGTGGTCATATTATTTTGGCACAAGGTGGAAGTTTGATGCAGGGAATAGTTTCAACATGTTTTTTACCTATTGATAGTTTAATAAGGGCCTCTTTGCACATCAATGAGTTCCGAAAAAACCCTTTTCTGTTAATTGTGCAATGCTTAAATATTGATACCTTTTCCAGTGATATCTGCTGGACGCTAACCTTTACAATGGTAAACAGTTAAAAAAAAAACCTGGTGTAGATCAGTCATTTGAACTCCGCACATGTAAAGCACACGTGATTAAAAAGGGAAAATAGTGACTTTTGGATAAATAAAGTTATTGACATCATGTGCATGAAAATGTAAAGATAAATTATTATTTTTTTGTTATTTAAATAGAGTTGTTTTATTAAGAAAGCTTAAAAAAATAACATGACTCTCCACCCCTTTCTGTTGAAGTAAATGGTACAGTCCATAAAAAGGGAATAAAAGTCAGTGGTCCAGCTGAATTCCTCTCCAGATCACAAACATGAAGTGGTTTACTGCACATCTGTTGCTTTTTTTCTGCCTCTACGCCACGAGGGCTGTCCACGGAGAATGCTGTGGTCGAACATCAGAGGAGACATATCCTGCTGATGAAAAGGTTCAGCAGATTGTTGACAAAGTAAGTATTTATATATGATTAGTGCCACACCAATTTGGGCATGAGAACCTGAAATGTCTTACATTTATGTGGTTCTCCATTATTCCTCAGCTGAAGCCTAGTGTTGAATTGAAAACAGGGGCGAACTATGAGGTTTTTAACGCCACAAGTTACAAGACTCAGCTGGTTGCTGGGACAAACTACTTCATTAAGGTAATATTATCTTTATAAGGGGTTAAAAAAGTTTAACCTCTATATCTGAATTGAATAACTTTGCTTCCTATTAACACCTTCCCTTTCTTTGATTTTTATTTTATGATTAAGGAGTTGATGATGAAGTAGTCGGACCCTGAAAAATACTTTTCACCATTTTTATGTTTAAAGCTTATTCTATTTTGGTGTTGTTTTTAACATTTTAAAGCACAGCAAAGTAGCACAAATGAAAATATGCTATTTATCCTGGCCTTTGGTGTCCTTTCAGGTCCATGTTGGTGGAGATGATTATATTCATCTTCGTGTTTATAAAAAACTCCCAGCTTATGGAGGAGACATTGAGCTGAGCTCCCTGCAGCTCTCCAAGTCCCACAACGACACCATTGAGTACTTCTATTAAGTACTTCTTAAAGCCTAACAGAAAAAGCAAGGATCCAGCAACTGATAGAAGTCAAGACATCAAATGCCAGCATCTACTGATTACAGTTTAAAGTGCACCTCATGTATAAGTATCAATAAAGACATGTGCTTGTGTCAAAACTGTTTGCTCTTGTGTATCTATTAAATACGCCAAATTAAATATTTTAATTAAATCCTGCAAATAATTTTTCACATAAAAAAATAAATAATATTAAGTAATATAACATGCAGTTTATAGTTTACTGCTCATACTGCACCCTACCTTAAAGTGCCTCAAACATTGGAGGGGCTGTGGCCAGAAAGGAGACTACAAACATATATTCTGGGATTGTCCCAAAATTAAAGAATATTGGAACGATGTAAGGAAAAAGACTGAAACTATTTGCAAAGAAAAATTTTACCTGGATTTACAAACATTCCTGCTGAGCATTTTAGCCAATAAATTGTTAAATAGAAAAAGAAAATTATTCAAATACTGATTATGATAGCAAAGAAAATAACAATCTACTGGCTAAAGCCACAACCCCCGAGCACCGACCTTTGGTGGGAAAGAGTTAAGGAAGTGATGGGAATGGAAAAAAATAACAGCAAAATTACAGTTTCGAGATAAATTGTTTCAAGAGACATGGGCACCTGTAGTTATGGAGATAGAAAAACCTTAACTGCTCTGGAACTTTTTCATCTTTGGAATGGATAGGAATACAGAACGTGTATTGATTGACATATTCAAGTGTTCTCTCCAAACTTTTGAATTTTTTTTTTTCTTAATTATGTACTTGTATTTGTTTTGCTTGTATTTATAAATCAACACCTTTGGGAAAGGAAAATATAAACAATTTATGAAATTCTGTAAAGAAATGGTGTATGCCTTTACCAAATAAAAATAAATAATAAAAAAATAAAAAAAGTGCCTCAAACAAAAATAAATAAAGCTAAACTTAAATCTAAGAGATGAAATGTAAAACATGGGAAAATCTTTCTCGTTGTCTTGCATTGCACCAATGGGTTAATCTGAATGTTTTATGCACAAATTTCAGGCTTATGAAAAGTATGTCAATTTTGACACATTCAATCCTTGGTTGGGCCTCCTCTTGCATGAATGAGCTGTGGATTAGAGGTGATCAGACTGTGGTATTAGGTCAATGTATTTGCAATATTGGGTCTGGTGTCTCTTATCTTGCTTTTAATAAAAGGCCAATACATTTACTATGGGTTTCAGGTCAGAGGAAGTGTGCTGATCAGCCAAGATCAGGAACACCAATGGTCACTGAACTAGATCTTGGTACTTTTGGCAGTTTGTACAGGTGTCAAGTATTGCTGGAAAATCAGCATCTTCTCCATAAAGGTAATCAACAGAGAGAAGAATGAAGTATATAGCATTTCCTGGTAGGTGGCTGCTTTTCAAACTCACCTAAAACCTTCACTGGTTTAAGGTGAAATGCATATTATGTTTTCATAAAAATCTAAATAAAAGCAAAGGCTTAGAACATATTACTCTGTGTAACGATTCTGCATATGACTTTCACCTTATGGTAAGAAGTATGGCACTTTTATGCAATATTCCAATGTTTTTGGCTGTACCTTTTTTATCTAATAACCTTGTGAAGGCTGACAGGTCTAACGAAGGCTAAAGTCCACCCTAAATGTGGTGGATCGTCATTTTTTAAGAAGTGATAAGCATTAACTAATTATTTCAGAAAGATAGAACCAAAGAAACACTAAAGTTGTCTTTTTAGTTGGAGTATGTTATGGCATCACACGCCATCTCTCTGCATCGTTATCTAGTCTCTTGTTTATAAGCTGGGCCAGCCATGCAGTCTAATGAAACACTTTGTTAACAGCATAATTAATCAGTTATTGACAAACAATTTAGAAAAGTTGCAAAAATGCTTTTGCAAAAGCTAAGCTTTATAAGATTTAGCTTATAGTACATTTATGGTTAATGGTTAGGTTTAGAGGCATGAATTACATGGAAGTTAAAGTCAGGGTTAGGAATATGCTAGTAATGGCTTAAATAAATGGCAGTCACATCAAAGTCCTCATATGGTTTCAAAAAGTGGTATATTACATGCATAGTCAAATATAATTATCAGACTGGTTAATTGCTTGAATATAAAATTGTTGTCTTTATTTTATGTTTAAAGTGCTAACATAGCCCATCAAGTGCTTCCATCCTTACTGTTTGCAGAAAATAATTTTATGCTGGCAAAAGGAGGCTGCTCCTTCAAAGAAAAATCAAATTCTAATCATTGATATTATTTGGTTGAATGTCATTTTGAGTTCTTCACCTAAAAACTGGTAGGAAGGATCTAAAATTCAAAAAAGTCTTCATATATCTGGAAATCTGGTCTTCTCTGTCTTGCAATTCTTAAGCAGACCCGACGCAATGGTTTTCACGGCTCTTAAGGTCTCAGTGCAGGTGGGCTTGATCAATGATTCGGGCAGGAGGAAACCGAAATGTCCTGTATCCCTTAGTTCAAATGCAAAGGCATAGGGAATCCCGTTTTTGTAGGCCCAGTCAATAGAGCTGCCAGAGCTAACATCTGCAAGTCAGGAAAATGAAGCCAATTACTAAAACAACAATAACTGCGTGGTTGTAAAAATGATGAATAGAATCAGACATTTCTTTTATTGTTGTAATCCACTGATACTACTTCTTAAAGAGAAAAAACATTAAATTAATGGTGGGAAAAAAAGGGGGGGGGACTCACACAAAGTTGTGGAGGCAGGTCCATATCTGTACCTAACCCCATAAGCAGAATATAATGCTGTCACTGCATTCTGAGCTGCTGACTCCTGGAAAAAAGAAAAAGTCATGAAGTGATGTCACCTCTGGTCTGTATTTATAGATTCAGAAACATGTAGTTTCTTGTAAATGTGAGGTGGAAGAACGATTATTGATGGTTTTCCAGGTTTCTTATCAAATATTGAGTAAAGATTTTTTGGACATAAATAGTAAGGTGCAAAATACTGCCTTTAGAAGTCATATAATCAGTAAACACAGTCTACTTACATGAAATTAATTTGGGTTGAGCTTTTTTTTTTTTAGCCTTATGCTACTTTCCCACCGCAAGCTGCAAGAGCAGCAAAAACGACTTGCTGCTTCATTTTTGATGCTTGTACAAGTTTATTTCTGACGCGCAGCTGAAGCATCTTTGCTGCTCCAGCTGTGCGGTGAAAAAGTGGGTCTGATGCGCGTTGGACGGAGCTACTCTATCCTTTCTTTGTCTGTAACAATGGCAGCTATATTTGCTATGATCAGTGGGTAAAAAGAAGTTTTAATATTATTTAATTTTAGTTTTTCAAGTGAGAAAGTCCACCTGAAAACTTAATCTGTGCAGTCAGTTCATCAGGATTACCATCCTGCCTTCCAATATTATTTCTGTTGGAGCCGCTCAGACCCCCACATACTGTCGGTGCGCTGTCACTGGGAATCCCATTCAACAGCAGCCTCTGGCCAGGTCGCCTCTTTGTGGTTTGCAGCGGTGGCTGGAAGGCGGTTTTCATGTACATAATCCAAACTGCAGGCACCAGGATATTAAAAGCGAACATGCTTTGCCAGCAGATTTCAGCATTTTAACTTAATTTAGACTTTAATAAACTGCTTCAGTTGAGTGATCATAGTGGTCTGTATCATCAGCAGTTCCGTGTCTCTCTCCCTGCCAGCTCTAGATCACCTTCTCTGATTGGTTGATGTGGCGCGTCGAGCAGCAAATGCTAAATTTTTCCAACTCCAGCAGCAGCTGTGTTTGCAGCGCGTCAGACAAAGCACTGCTTCCGCTGCGCAAAACGCGCTGCAGGATCATTTGATGTGTCTCAACCATTGACTTTGCATGCAAAATAGCTGCTCTTGCTGCCTTTTTTTTGCTTGCGGTCTGAACGTAGCATGAGATATTTTTTAGAGATCGTTAGAGAGAAACCACCATGAATGTCAGAGAAAACAGCAAACAGCTTATGGGGAAACTTCTACAGACACACCAAGTGACAGCTGCCTCTACAATAAATTCTGTTTGCAGTTTTCTCTAAGTCATGCAGGGAATACGGTAAGGGTGTGGAAGAAACTGCTCAGGTCAGCTAAGACCAATCATTAACTGGTTTTGCCCTCAATTTGAATGACTTATCAATTAGCTATAACTTAAGGTTCCATTTATTTAATATATTAATAATCCTCTGCTAAAACTTCACAACATGTTGTAAGATGGGGGGTAGGGGTTCTTACCACACAGTTAAAGTTGGGGATCCTAGCATACTTGTAGGAGTACGGGTAAAGCAGCATCTGTGCATAGGCATGGATGGATATGTACACCTTCATGTGCTTCTTGTGTTTGCGCAGAAACTTGGCGACAGCTTTGACTTCAGGTTCCGATTCAGGAAAGGGCCCGCAGTAGGTGTCGTCACAGGGATGAAAGGAAGCTCCCTCCTCTGAAAGAAGAAGATAAAAAGTTTTACTTTTATGAATTTCATGTGGATCACATGTCCTGTAAACAATCAGACAACCCCCACCAAAGACAACAGAAACCCCCTTTCTATTGCCACTTCAATGCATATGCTTACCTGAGCTGAAGCCGCTAGGCTTCTGGGTTCTCGTAAAACAAAGAATGCAGTTCTCGTAAAAGAAAGAATGTTCTTCCTAATTAGCTTTAAGAAAAAGAATGACTGAAAACTACTCCTATTATAGTTCTGGTTCTGTTATGTTTTCTTTTGTGTATTCTGTTTTACTTTGTTCCATGTTTTCTAGTTTTAGTTGTTTTATTCTTATTTTATTGTGTTTTCTGGTTGTTTTCAGGTTTTTAATGTTGCCCTCTGCTGCCCTCTTGTGTTCCTTTTTTCCCTACCTCCTTTCCTGTTCTCTTCACACCTGCTCCCTATCTGCTCGTTAGCCCTCTCTTTGTTTCAGTCTCCCATAAATACTCACTCTGTGTAGTTCTTCAGTGCTGGTTCCTCGTCAAACTTCCTCCATTTCTCTGAGCTTTCCTCCTTGTGATTGTGATCCCCCTGATGTCTCCACTGTTTCTGGTTCGTTTGACTTGTTTTCATGTTTTGATTATTGGATTTTTGGACTCCTGGTTTCCTGTCTGTTTGGACTTTGTTTTCGTATTTGGATTTTGGATTACCTGCCTCTGTTTTCAGTAAACTCATCATTAAATCCACAAGAAATTCAACTCTGCCTCCCTGCATCTGCTTCTGAGTCAATTAACCATAACCAAATTGTGACAGTTCTAAAGCTCACAGACCTACATGTGAGCTTGAAAGACCCTGCGGAAGGAGGCTCTGAGTCTCAGATTTATCCACCACCTGAGGGAGAGATGGGCAAAGAACAGCTTGCACAGGTGGATGCTTTGCTCTATGAAGGGGAGCAGCAGGCAGGAGGATAGGGAGCAAAAGGAAATGCAAAGTTTGACCCTCTTAATAATGTCTAGGGTTTGCGGGGAAATACTTTTGACAGATTCATGCTTATTGGGCATAATATTTAGTGAAAAATGAACTTAGTGACCTCATTAAGAAATAAGTCTTTCATGATTTATATTTTAAGGAAATCGTCATGGCTTTTTATGTAGAAGAAAAGAAAACTCTTCTAAAAGATAAGAGTGAAATATTTATTGATTTCCTATTCCATCTTCAGGTTTTTAGAAGATTAGTTGTGCAATAATGTTAAATAAGTGTGAATTTACTTAGACTTTTAATTAGAGCAGGGGTGTTAAACTGATGAACAAATGGAGAACACCATCTAATGGTGGAGATTGTAGAAGAGAGGTTATTTCTGTTCAAAGTGAAATAACCTCTAAAAATATAACCTCTATAATAACTATATAAATGGTTTTCCCTATAAACCTAAGTCACCTCATTTATCAATGTCATAAGGAACATGTTGGCTTAATGTTAATGTCAGAGATAACTTTGATAGAAAAAAGTGTATTAAACAATACGGTAGGTTTTCACACATTCCTCCCTGTGGTATCTAGGAGGCACAACGACAGATAAAAAAATTCTAAACTATAAAATTAGGCTAATCTTACAAAAATGTTGGTAAATATTGTTACTTGAACCCATAGCCCCAGGTCCTACTAACAGTTTAAGTAGGCCCTGCCCATTTCCACTTGAGATGCTCACACACACTATGCACTGAGTGTTTGAGTCAACTTATTTAACTATATCTTGAAAAAAATATATATAAGCATACAAAAAAACAACTCACCGCACCATTTAACCTTCCAGTTTCTGTTTGGGTCCACTCCTCTGCAGTGGAACTTACGGTTTTTGGAGCGTGTTTTCCTCCAAAAACGATCCTGCAGAAAAAAGTTAAAGTTTAACCTCACCAATACATCCAGTGAGGAGTCTGTCTATTCATTCAGTTGACCTATAACCAGAGCTGCAGTAGAGCTAGGTGTTGTTTTCATTTTGTGAATCCATAATGATGTATATCAATGTTGATAAACTGTCTTTAAAACCATAATAAAAGTTCTAAAATATCTTTTTGCCCCCACTTTTTTCATAGAGCATGGTTTCGCTCCACGTTGGGTCATTTTTTTTTTTTATTTGTTTAAAGTTTTATACCCTCATTTTGCAACAGAAGGCTATGAATGAACTATAATGCATGTACTTTCAAGCCTTGGCAGTCAAAGAGGCTATGAAATTTCCCCAAGGTAGCTATGAATCGATGCATGCTCAGAATGAAACATCTGTAGTAGACGGCTTTTTAAGGCATGAAAGACCCCAAACTGAATAAAAGTAAGAGATGACAGCACCCAAGAAATCACAACTAAAGTCAAATCAGGCCAACTAAGCAAATAAAACATGTTTTAACTAATAAAGCATGTATGGATTATATCTGAAAACATAATAAGCAGATTGCACTCCACTCCATGGATAAATAAAGGTTACATTCAAACAGGACATTCCCATCAAACTGTTGCATCAGATAGATCTGGGGTCTGTCTTGGTTGGAAACTTACCAACAGATCTGAACATTAACTTCAACAAGAATTAAGTGTTAAAACTTCAAAAATCTGTTTTTCCATAATACCAGACATGAAATTTGGTACAGTATGTCTCAGCCTTTAGAATGCAATTGACCAAACAGTTAGTACAAACTACTCTCATTTAACAGGTAATAAAAAAAAACAGAAAAATGAAGCTCTGGAAAAATAGGACAAGCCAATTGTAGAACACTCTGTACCGTGTTCCAGCTGAAGCGATATCCATCCACATTGAAGACGGGCATGACAAAGAAGTCAAGATGGTTCAGTAGTCGTGTCATTACGGAGTCATGCTTGTATGAGCTGAGTGCCTGCAACCATGCAAATAAATCAAAATTAGAGTAATCTGTGAGTTAGGAAAGCAGAGAAACAATACTAACAAAATCCTTCAAAAACAAAGATTATCCTTATCAGATATTACATTTTTGCTTCTTGTACCAGTATTGCCATTCTGTTATAAATGGTCTATAAAAAAAAAAAGACAACAAAAAAGGAACTATAAAAACAAATCCATTTCTTGTCTGTGATTTTAAGCCAACAAGTAGGGCCCAAGCAGTCAAAGGGTTCTAGCCAAGGCTTAAGTCTTTAGCCCTGTAATGCCAAATGTATCATATTTGATACATACGGTTTCTGAAATGTTTTGCGTCTGACACCTTTTGCATAATTTAATGGTAAAAACTTTGCTCAAAATCCTATTGGGCACAATCAGATATACCTGATAACAGAGGGCAGAAGATTACACAAAAAATAATTTTGAATTATCGCATAGTAATAAATTATTAATATAAAAAATTTATTTCTGTTTTTTCTTTTTACATATTTTGTTAAAAGGCCAAATAAGGACTTCAAACCAAAAAAAAAAAAATTTTCTGTTTTGTTTTATTCTTGGATCGGGCTTTAAAGAGTTAAGATAAAAATAAAAAAAAAGAAGTCACACTGACCTCCAGTGGTTTATCCTCGTCACTACACCATGCCTTAACATGTAATCTTGACCATGTTTTACCCTCATGTCTGGACTCCAAGTTTGTTTAGGTTTCCTTTGCTTGATTTTCTAAATTAATTTCATCTCCTATTGTCTTTTCATTTTGCTGTCACTCTATAATGCAACTCCCAAGGTTAATATTAGTTTATGGTTTAGTTTCATACAGTTGGTCATGTGTTTATGCCTCTTGAGTTGGTTTCTTGTTTTGCTCCTTTGTATTAAAAGTGATGTAGCTGTTTTGTGTATTTTTCTGTGCTAGATTCACAAATCTAGTTACTTATTCTATAACCTGTAATATGTCAGTCAATGAGAACATTGTTTATTCATTAAAGCAAATTTTTGGGTTTAGCGAATCAGTGATAAAAAAGATGCAGGTGGATCTAATACCCTTTGAAGTAAACATCAATCATAGCTCCCCTTACCAAGGTTTCCTCATTTATGTCTCTTTTGGGATTGGACCAAGACATTTGGTGTTAAGAGAGATTGCTGTCTTTTAAGTATCAAATTAAACCAAAAACTTTAATGTAGTTCAATGCCTAAAAGTTATTCTGATATCAAGTGGAACGATGTCTTACAAACATTCTTCCCACCTGTTTTTTTTTTTTTTTTTGGCTTTTACAGTGTTTCTAATCCTATTCATCTGGGGTAAAAATGGTCTATAAAAAAAAAAAAAAAAAACAGTGATAAAAAACATGCATGCAGTGTCTGGTGAGGGTCTGGCTTTCATTTCAGAGACTAATGGTCTGTTTTTACTTTAGTTTTAACTTTTTCAGGCAAACAGAATCATGATCAAACTTCTCTGTTTTTATTTACTACAGCAATATGAGATAGAATAATAAATATATATTATCTCTTTACTACTTTCCTAATGATACATTTTTTGATCAGATTTGCAAAGAATAATAATAACTGAACTTTATTGCTCTCACACAGGAGAAATTCACCTCTGCATTTGACCCATCCCCATGGGAAGCAGAGGGCTGCCATGGTATGGCGCCCGGTGAGCAGTTTGGGGTTAAATGGTCTTGCTTAGGGACCCAGAGTGCAGGGTGTGGCAATAGAATCGGGTACTTGCAACCTTCTCAGAGCACAAGCGCAAAGCTCTAAATCAGGCATCCCCAAAGTCGGTCCTCGAGGGCCGCTGTCCTGCAGGTTTTAGAGGTTTCTCTGCTTTAGCACAGCTGATTCTGATGATTGCAGTTCAGCAAAAGCTTGTTACTTAACTATCAATGTAAATCAGCTGTGCTGGAGCAGGGAAACCTCTAAAACCTGCAGGACAGCGGCCCTCGAGGACCGACTTTGGGGATGCCTGCTCTAAATAATCGGCCAACCCTCCCATTCCCCAGGACAAAAGAATGCAGCAGCAGTGGGGTTACTTTGTTGGGCTAACATATAGACTAAAGAATAAAGTGACATTGCATCTGTGTATTTGCCCTGAGTTGGTGATTTACCTGCATGCCAGAAACTAAAACTATAGAATAATTTACTGCACACATCAGGTCAGTTTGTTCACTTTGAGTTAAGTTTTTTTTTAAACTGCTTTAGTCCCAATTAAGAGATACAAGTTATCAGCCCTACCCTCCAACAAGGAGGCTTAGTTTTCAAAGGTAATTAAATGTGATTCAAATAAAAACATATTAGGACAGCTTTGCATGAGAAGAACGTTTTAAAGAACGTTTATATCACAGAGGACTTGACAGTATATAAAAAGAAAAGGCTTAAAAAATACTCCAAGTCTGCAGACAGATAGAAGTACCTCTCTGACAAACCACTGGCAAAAAGCAGGTCCAATCCACTCCCTGGCATGAACGCCGCAGTCAATCCACACGGATTTCTTTTGAGGACGGCTTCTCTTTCCTAGCTGACAGAAGAGAAATCATTGTGAAAAACCTATAGTGTTTGAATGATCTTTTTTCCTTAACATTAATGTGATTGTTGTTACCTGAAGCACATAAAGTGGTCTTCCTTCGTATGACTTTCCAACAGAAAACATAGTAACCAGCTCAGGGTGACTCCTGTTCATCTCAAACATCCAGTCTTGAATCTGTAATGAATAGTCATTTGTAGATTTGGAAACTGCTAAAGAAATGAGCACAGGACTGTAACACTTACCTCTTCCAGTGAGTGGTAAACCTCGTAGTCATACTGAAACTCTGACCTTCGCTTGCGAGTGAACCGATGTGCCATCTGCTTTTCAATTTCTCTCTGCAGATTGGAAATAACCACTCTGTGGAAGGTGCAAACGGAGACAAATATAATTTATGTGACAGAAAGCCATTGTAATGTTTTAACTAGTGAGGCCTTCATCAGTACATGCAGCTATTGGTTTACGATTTATATACAAACATCAGCTGTAGGATGGCAATAATTGGTCAGACTTCAGTTTTCATTTAAACTTTACTTTCTCCATGGTGGAACATAGACCTTACAAATTCCAAAAACAATTCAGCTTCTTTTGTTGCACCTTAAGCACACTTGTAGCTTCCTCATTCTCGTTCTGCAGAACCTCATTCTGGTTCTGCTTGACTAAATAGATAGAGCTCATGTTTTGCTGTTAAAGTTGAGAGTCATTTGGAAAGATCCCCCAGTAACTCTGCCAAGAGCAGTTTTGAAGTGTGTTTATGATGTTAGAAAAACTTCTACAAAATTTCTGACCAAAACAGTTATCCTCAGATGAAAAAATACCCAGGAAACGTGTTTAAGTGTGCAAAGAGCCGGGAATGACTGGAGCAGCAAAAAAACAAAACCAAGAACTTTTATTTTATTGATTACAGCTCTTCCAAAGAGTGTGAATCCAAGGCCCAACCTCTTTTTTAACCCTCTTCACACCCACATTCAGCCATAAATTCCGTGCAAAGCATCAAATAATTGCCATTGTGTATTTAAGTGAGCCATCAGATCATGTCGTTTAATGATTACCATGGCAACTGCAGCCAAGAGGGCACTAGAAAATGCAGTTCAATCAAGAAATATTTTGTTCCTAAATGTGGCTTTAAGCAGAAACTCAATAAGTTGTTGATAATATTCGACACCTGTCAGTTAATTTTCTATGGTAAATGCCAACAGGAATAGTAGACTGGTTAACAGCTAAATTAATTTATAAAACAAAAACAAACTAAAAAAAATATTAGAGGGAAGCAGCACATCTATCTATAAAATTTCTATATATGGACAAAATAATATTGTTTAGGCAACATAATCTTATTATATTTACAGGTTTCCTAACCTTTTATGGAGTATTTTGGATATTTACTAATAATAATAATAATAGTGATGATACATTTTATTTCAAAGGTGCCTTTCTGGACAGACATACTGTACTTTCTGGACACTCAAGGTCACCGTACAAAAGATAAAAACAATAAAAACAAGAGCTAAACAGACTGTTTGCCCATTCAATTAAATTATATTCAGTTTATTTATATAGCGCCAATTCACGACACATGTCAAGTCAAATTGATTCAAAGTTTGAACATATTGAACATTATTTAAATCTGCAATACCTGAATATATTTTTATTTCTATATTTACTATGAATTGTTTTTTTCATGTTTAATTCCATTTGTCTAATCCATGTAACTTTATGTGCACTGACCTTCTCCTTTTTAACACCTATGATGAATGGGGATCACATAATTTTATTGTGATAAAGATAAAAGTTGAAATAAAAAGCAATTGAAACTTCTCAGACATTTTTAGGCAACTGCATGGCTTTAATTGTACCTCATGGTCATCAAACCCCCATACAAATACTTGTTTTTAAAAATACCACGTTTGGAAAAGGCTTTCTCTAACCATTAGCGACATCTGATACATCTCAGATACACACATACATACTCATTACACACAAACTGCACATAATCATTTATTAATTGATTTATTGATATTTATTGATGTCCTATTGGAAACAGGAGAAAGGAAATAGGAAGGTCAGCACTCCTGAAAACTCAGTCAGTGTTTGGACCGAGATCTCTAACACAAGTCAGTTCTCAAATTATGCAGCTAGGGCATCAAAGGCTGGAATCTCTGTAGAGGGAAAACTCTGGTTTGTGACCACGTAAATCTGACAGAGGATGATAACAAGCGTGTGAGTCACTAACCTGGTCTATGCCAAGAAGAAAGGAGTGGAATCCAGCCGGATGGCTACCAACAGCACGCTGCAGAGAGTTCCAGAAGCCGAAGCCTTGAAGAAGGCTGAACCAGCTGACGCGAAAATAAAGGAAGTCAGGATTTTCCAGAAGACAAAGCCAAAGCCAGTGTAGAAGAGGTTCACATGAGTCCAGTCCAGAAGTGCAAAGATCCAAAGATGTACCAGGGGGAAATCCAAGTTGTAGTTAAAAGACAGATCCAGGTTCAGCACACAAGCAGAAACCAACAAGAGTCCAAAGAAAGGTCAGGCAAACATATCCAAAACGGGAACAGACGGGCTCAAAGATCCAAAGACTACACGGGTCAGGATAAGGCAATCAAAAACACAAACATGTATGCCAAAGAACTCTTACCGAAGGCTTGAATAATCTGGCACTGATGAATGGGAGTAAGCAGTTTAAATAAGAGACCAGAGCAGGTGACACAGATGAACAGTGATGAGAAATTGGGCAGAGCTAGACAGGTGAATGGAATAAACCATTAAGCCAGTCTTCCGTGCCAAGCTCATGACAGTTTGAGGTTTTTAGAAATCCTTAACTGTAATTTACTGCTGTCATGATCAATCAATACTTTGTATTCAGAAAATAGATTATCTACAATAACAATAAACAATACCAACAATGTCCATATAATGACTGTAAATGAAATTGTACCCTTTACTGTGAATGTTGGCTCAGTGTTTCTTCTTCACCTTTTTTAGTGTGGCTGTGTTGACAAGAAGGAAGGAGGTCTTTTTAGAAAAAGGGTGAACTTTTGCTTTGCTTTGGTCCCTTTACATTGTGTCTCTCTGCCATTGTTTTGTGGTCATTGAAATACTTGTACAAGCTTGATATATTCTGAGAAATATATATATATATTTATCCTCTTCCCCACCCTTCTTTTCTCAAAGAGTTCTGTTTGTTTTAAGTATGTCTCTGCTTTAACACATATAATGAAGTCATTAAAAGTGTTTACTGTAGGCTGTGGTGGCCATTCAACTAACCACTCTGATGATCTTGCTGAGGAAACTGTTTCGCACCCTGGTTTAGCATTTATCTAAAATTACATTCAATCTTTGTAATTGTTTTAGAGCTCTAACTAGTGCAATTGTTTTTTATTGATATAATACCTTAGATTTCCCTATTTACAGGGATTAGATGGTATCAGTGTGAAGTGGTGGATTAGGTAGGTTTATGTGTGGGTTCTTTCATAACACTAATTATACATCATAAGTCAAAGTGTCTGACAGCCTAATTAGGCCATACTCTATTATCACCATCTGTTAAAGGATTCTTACAGTTTGAAGTTTTTCTTCACTTGCCCCCCAAACAGGCATAGATAAAGTGATCTTTTATCGTCACATCCCTGATGGGAATCTCCATTGAAGTATAAAACATCATCAAAGCCGAGTAACTACAGCACAAACCTTGTTGGAAAGATTCCCAGTACAAAGAACAGATCTCATGCTCAGAGCGGAAATGTCTCCCAAAGGACTGCGATGACAATCAAAGCCTTTTAGCAGCGGTTACTTTTAACCGGTTTCAGGCCATGTAAAAGATTTTTGATGCAAGTCATGGCCATATGCAAATCATATGAAACTCATATTTCATGTCTGCAGGAAAGCCGGGTAATTCCAAAAACTTCTGGACAACAGATGTGTGTCTATCAGGATGTGAAGGAATTAGTTTTTTTGTCATTGAGAAACAGAGCATCAAGTTTTAGGGGGGTCTTATAAAACTAAAAGAATCCGTGCAGTGAGCTCACCGATATTTGATCCTTTCCAGCTTTAATTGAGTACGCAGGTCTAGTGTGTCATTTTGTTTCACATGAACATCCACCGTGGCATTTTGATGGATTAGAGAAGCACTGTTGGGCTGCCAGAAGTCCACCTAAAGCAAGAAATTAAGCATAAGACCATTTTAGTTATTGAATGATGGAAATAATAAAAATGAAAAATACTGATGCAGGAAGATGCTTGTAAAAAAAAACCTTCAGAGACATTTATCACATTTAGAGTTTAAGTAATCCATGTTTTACTGTTCTGTAATGACTACAATGTTTTGTATCTAATCACACTTATCCTTGAAAAAAATCAGTTATACCCCTTCACATTTTCAGTCATAACCATCCATTAATTTTATTCCATCAGTATCACGGTGGGCCAGTGCCTTTCTCCGGCAGTCTATGGGCAAGAAGCGGTGTACAACCTGGATAGGTCACCAGCCTCTTGCAGGGCAAAGCAGACTCACACAATGACATACAATCATGCACACTTACTCACACAATTTTAAAGTTGCCGATTAACCCAACAGTCATGCTGGAGTACCCAGAGAGAACCCACACATGCATAGGTAGAACATGCAAACACCATGCAAAAAGACAGCAAGCTGGGAATCTAACCCGGAACCTTTTTGCAACAAGGCAACAGCGCTACCTACTGCCCCACCAGCATACCCATTTCATAACTCATGACTCATTTGTCCTTGCAAATACAAATACTTCTTCAATTGCTTGCTCAGTAACATCAAGAAATGTGTTTTTATTAATAAACTGCACACATTAACAATATTTAGTTATGCTTCTCATATGTACTGATATCCATTGACGGAAGAGGAGAAAATAGCATAAGTAGTAATCCCAATAATACAGCCATCACTAAGTGGAATGTATTTTGCTGTCTCAAATAATCAATGCAGAAATTCCATGGAAGCAATCCTAAATCAATAATGTGTAGAAATTAACTAAACCTGAGTCCTATACATAATTTATTCAGCCTACCTGCATTTAGTTGCATGCACCATCCTATTAACTCTGATCACCTTTACTGTCTCCTCTTAGGAAAAGCACTTCCACATCATGATGTTGCTACTGTTAAGTTTCTGGCCTGTCAACTAGTGTTTGTGATTTTATTCCCCTCTCCCTTCTGCTCTGACTGTTCATTTGGCCCTCCTGTGCTGCTTCTGCTCAGCCTATTTATCACTGATTCCTCTCACCTGTTTGCCAGCCTTCTTAAGCAGGCCTCTGACTAGTTGACAGTGCCAGATTGCCTGAAAGCCTTGGTTAGTAAGCATCCAGCATTTTTCTCTGTCTCTTTACCTGGTCCTGACCTGTTTCTGCCTCCCGATTTTTGAGCCTGACTAGACCCTGTTGGACCTGTTTTTATGTGCCACTTGGATCCCAGACCTGTTTCTGTGCCCTGACTTTGTTCCTGGATTCTGTCTTGGATTCTCTGAATTTCTGATCACCCGGCTTTGACTCTGGATCCTCAGTCTGAATCTTAACAGCTACCACCCAAGAACTTTAATTTTGGGTCTAATTTTGCCATACCCCATTATTTTATGCTTGGTGCTTCCTAACACACACTGCTTATTAAGCTAACAGCCAACTGCACTGAACGTTACCCTTGGTCAAAAGGAGGATAAATAAGTAGACCACTGTTTTTCAATCCTGGTTCTTAAAACACTGCCCTACCTGTCTTGGATGTTGCTTTTACTCTAGATATCAATTGATAGCATATCATCAGGCTTCGCTGAATTGCATTTAGCTGAGTCAGGTGTGAGTCAGGTGTGTTAAAGCTTAGATAAATGTGAAACATTTGGGGCAGTGTGCCTTGAGGATTAGGGCTTAAAAATTACTGACAATCTTCAGTTTTTAATTTATTTTCTCTAAGTACTTATAAAGCCTTTCAAAACCAGATGTAATCTTCCTTGGACTTTTAATTACAATCTAGCACATGATTGCTGAAGTTGCTGAGATGCTCAACTTGGGGTCATGGATCAAAAGGCATATTTTCAGATAGAAAACATTATGCTAAACAATAAAAAATAAATTGTCATGGTTTTGGTTCTGTAAGTTTCTTTATGAGTTTTCATTAGCTTAATTTCCATGTTTTTCTATTCTAGTTGTTTTTGGTTGTATTTAAGTTCCAATGTATATATTGTTTACCCTCTGTTCTCCCCTTGTGTCGGTCTCATTCCCCTAGCGCCCTTCTAGATGCTTCCATCCACACCTGCTCCTCGTCCGCTGATTTGCCCAGTCTCCCATTTTTACTCCTCTTGTTCAGTTACTCTTTGCTGGTTTCTGGTCGTTCCTTGCTCCTCTAGTGTGTTTTCCCTGGTGTCTCCTGTTTTTTGGTTTTGCTGTATTTTCTTTTTAAGACTGGGCCGGATCTATCAAAGGTTTGCGTGTATAAAAACGTGAGCTATTTCACTGCGCAAGCTAAAAAAATGTACAAACTGATCTATCAACAGCGTGCTAAAAGGATTTGGTCTTTAAAACGTGCTAAATAGTGCCTCTTATCCATTTAGTACTTTTTCTGCAATGAATATGCAATATGGGGCGTTTACACGCAAAAGTGCGTCTTGTGGGAGGAGAACATGTAAATATATTAATTTAGCACTCGCAAAGTGATTTATCAAACCTGAAAGCAATTTTGCTAACGGTATCTGACTCTATATTTAACACGTTTCAAAAGAAGGTGCAAATGGTCTGTATGCGTAATTGCGCACACATGGCAGCGGTTATTGTCGCAAGAAGGAGACATCGAAATGAAGCAAGGAGACGCAGAGAACGCATTTTTTCACTCTGTGTGAATATTTTTGCAATGAACGAGGAAACGATCATCAAAACATATCGTTTATCCAGCATTGCCATTTTGGAGCTGTTGGGGGAACTCCAAATGGATTTGGAGCCAGCCACAAGGAGGACCCATGCAATACCAGCTATCACAAAACTCCTTGCAACATTGCACTTTTTTGCATCTGGGATCTCCCAATCTCGTTTTTCAGAAGTGCTGTCCGACGTTCTAAATGCCATGTCGCCCTGACGCCCTACCGGAGAACCCCGACCTCCCCCATGCGCCTGTGGAGCAACATGCCAATGCTGCGGGGATGCGTACGCGCAGTAATCTCATCCGCAGTCACATCTTGTGAGCCATTTGGTATGTGCATTTTTCTACAGGCCAATACAAAACACCTGTTTTTTTTTTTTTACTGCAGTGAAATAGAAATTCAGCCACATACCACCTTAGGGAATAAAGGTTGCCAAAGTTTATATATATATATATATATATATATATATATATATATATATCATTTTATTTTTTTTGGAGGGGGTGGGGGTGTCACTGTAAGATTAAAATTTCTTAATGCACTAGTTTGCACAAACTACAAACTACTTTGCCGCAAACCACAAAACGCGCAAAACCATCATTTAAATAGGGCGTCTCCAACAGTTTTGCACCTGCCACCAGTTACGCAATCGCTCTTGTTAAATCACCCGCAAACCATGGTTCAGCCCCTCGCGCAAAATTCCAGTTTGCGAGCGCAAGTTACTGCACGCAAAATTGGATCTTGATAAATCCGGCCCTTTACCTTCTGTTGCCTTGGGATCTACATTAAAGCAGCAGAAACTCATCTCAGCCTCCTTCCTTCTCTGCATTTGGGACCTCTTCAAACCTCCCCTCAACCTGACAGAAAAAAGGTATATTTTTCTGTTTAAAGCTATAAAAGTGTAACTCAGAAATTGGCTAAATCAAATACACTGGTTGTGAACGCTGGTATTACTACTATTGTACCTATGGTTAATAGTGATGGGTTAATGAGACATCTTGAAGCATTTCGACACATTGCCAAACTATATCTATGCTGTTATCATACTCTCACAGAATACTGAAACCTGCTGGACCTTTAAATACACTACAGGAAGCTAATTTGACAGACTAAACTGAATTGATTTGATGAGCTAGTACATATATAATTTAAGTTATTTTAGGTTAATCAAATTAAAATGTACTTTAATTAATTTAAGTTGAGTGATAACTGAGGGGAAAAGTATAACCTATGAGAAAATTAAAATAAAGACGCAACGGCTGAAACATTCCTATTCCTTTTTAGGCTACTCCAAATTTTGGATAATTTAAGTGATATACACCAAAATATTAGAAATTTTTTAAGCAGATGCATCATGTTGACAGACACATTTTTAAACACAGTTCAGTGTGTCAGTCAGAAACAACTCCTGTATCGGTCACATGACTTTCTTGAAATGACACGCGCACCGATACAGTATTAATAGATTTTGATTGTTTTAACTGTTTTTATTACAACTAATACATTGGGTCACTAGTTTATTCTAATTCTACTTGTGTGTCAGAAGCTAAAAAGTTTGAGGTTTTCTTCTAATGCATACAATCTGAGCAAATACATACAGGTTTGAGGTTTTAATGTGGAAAATATTTGGGTTGCAGGTACGTTATCATAAAAGAACTTTATGAATCTCTAACCAGCGTCAAATTTGAACCTAACTTTAACCAAACCCATGAAAAACATGCCTTCTCTCTTGACAAATAAAAAAATACAAATATTGGAGATTTGGTTTGACATATTTATTGAGCAGAAAAAAACAAAACTTGTTTTCCCAGCAGTTGAAATGGCACTAAGTGGTCAGAGTTGATGAAGAGATAATGGCTGAACCTGTTACAGTTACGACATTGTCTGCAACACTGTTGAATCAAAGTCTATGTAATAGTGAGGAGAACATAAAAAAGAGACTTCATGTCAGCTTCCTTTCTTTTCTCCTGTGAAACTTCACATTACGTGTTTTGGCACATTATCAGGGTGAGGCTGAGCTAACGCAGGCAGCAGAGAACAAAGCTTAGCCGCTAAGCAAATAAACATATATTGACCCAAAGCTCTGCTAAATCAACACACAGAGAGGGAGAAAAACCAAAGAGGGAAAAAGTGACCAAGAGAGAACCTTAAACCAAACAGGAAGACAGAAATCTATAAATGACAGATAAAAGTTAAATAAAAGATCCAGTCAATCATAACACTTCGCTGGGTACATCTGTGATTATCCTCAGCGGGCTCTCATTTGCTGCTCACAGGCT